GAACTCTTACAACTCAACCATTAAAAAAATTTAATAATGAACAGAAGATTTGAGTAGACATTTCTTCAAAGAAGATATAAAAATGGTCAATAAGCATGACCATAAAAAGATGCTCAACATATTAGTCATCAGGGAAATGCAAATCAAAACCACAATGAGACACCACTTTCACCTATTAAGATAGCTGTAATCAAAAAGACAGATAATAACAAGTATGTTGAGGATCTGGAAAAATTGGAGCTTCGCACGTTGCTGGTGGTAATGTAAAATGGTGCAAACACTTTGGCATTTCCTCAAAAAGTTAAACATAATATTACTGTATGACCCAGAGATTCCAATCCTAAGCATATACTCAAGAGAATTGAAAACATATATCCACACAAAAAACTCACATGAATGTTCATACCAGTATTATTCATAATAGCCAAAAAATGAAAATAACTCAGTGTTCACCAAATGATGAATGGATAAACAAAATGTGGTATATACATACCATGGAATATTTGTCACCCATAAAAAGGAATGAAATTCTGGTCAATGGTGACAACATGGATGAACCTTGAAAACATTATAGTCATACTAGGTGAACGAAACCAAACATAAAAGACCACATAATGTATAGGGAGTGACTGGTATTGGATATGAGGTTTCTTTTCGGAGTGATAAAAATATTCTGGAATTAGATGGTGGTGATGGTTGTACAGCTCTGTGAATATACTAAAAGCCACTGAATTATGCACTTTATGAGTTTATGGTATGTAAATTGTATCTTAATAAAGTTGTTATCAGTTAGTCAGCATGGTGGCACATGCCTGTAGTCCTAGTTACTAGGGAGGCTGAGGCAGGAGGATGGCTTGAGTCCAGGAGTTTGAGGTTGCAGTGAGCTATGATGACGTCGCTGCACTCTAGCCCTGGTGACAGAGCGAGATCCTGTCTGAAAAAAACAAAAAAAGGGAAAGTTATTTAAAATGTTTACAGAACTGAAATATATATTACATATAAAAAATGTATATGAATGTGTGTGTGTAAAAGAAGACTCAAAGAGATTTTGAAAGTTATACGATAGGATGTTCAAGAGATAAGAAAAAGGGATTTTTTTGTTTATTTTCTCTTCTTTTTGCTTGTCTACATTTTTTAATTTTTCTAGTAATGAACATAGACTCTTGCTTTTGTCCTAATAAGAAATTTTGATATATTCTAATAAATCAACTGAATGAGTGCCCAGCACTGCCTCTAATAGTCCTGCCCCAGGTGATATGGTCCTACTTAAATTGATGAAAGAAGATTTTTAAAAAGTCAGAAAGATTTTGCGTACATTTAAAAGTCCTTCCAGACATAAGATTATTTGAAGGAAAACATTCAACACATGGCTAAGATTCTGAAACTATTTTATTCATATGCAAAAGTGAAAGCAAAACCTAAATTTTAAAAAGCTGTTCTTTGCCCAGGCCGGTAATGCTTCCACACTGCCAGGTCATGTCGCTGAGATGTTCTGATGATATCAGAAACCTCAGCAGCAGCTACAACCATCCCTGGATTCAAATCAAGATTTCTTTCCTCATAGCACTTCACATTTTGCTATAAAAGACAACATTTAACAGCTTGACACACAAATTTATTGTATTGTGCAACAACAATATTTCTCTTTAATGTGTTTTATTACATTCCCTAGTCAGAGGATAAGTAATATCATTGACTTCATGTTGTCGTTGCATGTTAAAAATAACTTTGTGATGTCAAAGTACAGTAAGTGTGTTTGCCCCCTGAGAACAGCTTTTAAAGATGAAAAGCTTCATATCAAAAGGTTAATATCAAAGGTTAATATTTGCTAGTATAGTTATCTCTCTAAAGATTACGTATCCAAAACAAACATCCAGGGAACACCTACCCTCCATGAGTGTGGATACCAGAGGTATAAAGATGAATAATGAGCACAATGACACTTTAGTGGGTGCAAGGTGGTAGGGAGAAAGGTTGTTCTGAAGCTTAAATGAAAGAATGCATGAGCAAGTGCTTTTAAACATTACGGAAGCAAGTATCAAGACCACTTGTGTTTTTAAGGCAAGATTGGACTGTTATGTCTTAACATGGAAAAATGATGCTTAAAGGAATTAAATTACTTGCCTATGTTTTAAGAAAAACAGAAAAAATAAGCTGGACCCAGGAGGACTCTGAGAGGACAGAGCCTCCAAGGTGAGGCTCATCTGTGGTGTGAAGGCTACAGACGTGTCCTAAGCACTGGTTTACTTCACCCTAGAGTGATGGGTGGGACAGACATGCATGGTTGGGTGCAAACAAACCCAGACTAACACAAGTGAATTCAGGGTTTGGCTGGCCTCCCAATATTTCAGAAGTGATTCGTGAATAGCTAGCTATGTCCTTCAGATTTTAAGAGGGAAATGTAGCTTGCCGTGCTAGTGAAAAGAATGTCCCCGGAATCAAGAACCTAGACATGCAAGGGTGACAAACTAACTCAGTGTCTTGCAAGGGCATAGTCAACTCCATAATGTCCGTTTCGTACCGTGATCGGCCTAATGTTATACACATGGCTGTTGCTCCTTTTAGTCGAAATCTAGGTTTTCTCCTTCTTCTTGTCCTACCCCTCCCCAATATGGCAGTTTTCTCCTTCTCTCCTCCCAAGTCCTCCTGGGAATATGAACTGGGATCAGAAACCTGGGTCCTGCTTATTATTATTATACTATTCTTCTTTAAATTGTGTTGTTAAACTACAACAACTTGCAACTGGCTTGGGTTCACTTAATAATCAGGTTGTAGAAGTCGTCCTCTTTCATCATCACTTCACAGAGAAAACAGTGACGTCATTCTAGGCCAACAGCAGAATGTAGATCACCAACAGCAACAAAAAGAATGCAAGCAAAACAGAAAAACTAATGGCATTTCTACTTATTGTGACAC